TTTTCGATTGATCTCACAAAGCCATGTGATGCGATTTAACCAGCCTGATCTCACGAGAAAACGTAAGTATTTTACGTTTTGCCAGTTTAGTGGCTAATTCGTACGAAATTGTTTGATTTTAAAAAGGAGGCATACCTAACCCTACCCCTAAACCCAACCGTCATTGGGGGATGAGCAAATCATAATAAATTGTACAAATTAGATCGTATGAATTCATACGAATTAGCCACTAAATCAAAGTTACGAATTGCCGTGAGATTGTGTTGGATTTAACAGGTCAGAATTCGCCAAGCTTGGCTTGGACAAGCTTGCGTTTCCAGTCTGTTGCATTCTCATGCATATAAATGCAAGTCTATGGGTCAGAAAGTGCAGTGTGACCGTGTCTTTGTCTATTATGGTTGGAGCTGTGCCTTCTTTTAGGACTTTTTAGTCGAATTCAGCACTGAACTGAGAGATTCTAAAAGCTGTCCTTTGTTAAATGCTAATAATTAAAATTCAATTGTAAGCACTTCTCTTTTTGTGTAGTGTCTTCTGGAAGCTTAACTACAGAAACAGAAGAAGCTCTATGGAAATAGCAGCATTTGGACAGCATTTTAGGTTTCTCTGCCATAACATTACATTGCCTCTGGCCACACCTCTTCACTGCACCGGGTGTATGCGGGTGAGATATGTGTGTAACCTAAAGCGTTTGTAATCTCATTAACCCGGATGTATTTTCTTAGTAGGCCCCAAACTTTGTTAAAAGCCTCCGTAAAAGCCAATGTCTCCCGTTGCTTTGAACTTGAATACTGAGCGTATTACATTCAAAGATGTTATTTATGTTCAAACAGCTACACCCCTACCACCCCTTTAAAGTTGTCTAGCCTAACTAAAAAGGATTTTCAGTAGCTCAGTACTTTCTCCTTGTGTCATTCCATCTTTTTTTCACATAACTAATTTTTCTTAATTTATTTTCTGTGTATTTGTATGTGTGGACTGCTTGGGTTTTTCACAAAAAACTGGGTCAATTTTATATCAACAACTACTTTAGAACTAAATTTAGCAGGAAAAATAATGTTGTGTTCAAGGCAGATTTGCATTACTGGTCTATTGCTGTTTGGTTAAAGGAATAAAGGCAGTTTTGCTGTTTCACTGGTGCCTAATATGCCTATAATAATTCGGTCAAAAGACTCTTAAGATCCAAAATAAGAATTGATTGGCTCATTAATTACCTACCCTCTCTGTTTAATCAAGGGCAAGGTTCCAAGGTTGATAAATGCTGCTTAGATTTGTAAGCATATGCTTGACCTTAAAACTAATTTTAGTTACTTGCTTTCTCCTGCCTGTTGTGCTGGAGTGTTCTGGTTACACTGGGCTCCTCAGCATCAATATATGGGTTAAATACTTCTGTCTCACTGTGTTTGACGTTGCAAAATTCTGTTGTACACATTAAACAATTAAACAAGACATTAAAACAAGACATTAAAAAAGCAAGCAATTGGTCCATATTTTAAATGTTACAGAGAAGTAATGTTTTGATCTTCGATTGGTCTCACAAAGCCATGTGATGCAATTTCACAGGTCAGAATTCGTCAAGCTTAAACTTTCCAATGCATCAAGTTAATTTCATCATACCCAATTCACCTGTACCACATGTCTGTGGACTGTGGGGGAAAACCGAGCACCCAGGGAAACCCACGCAAACACAGGGAGAACATGCAAACTCCACACAGAAATGCCAACTGACCTAGCCGTGGCTTAAACCAGCGACCTTCTTGCTGTGAGGCAAAAGCACTACCTACTGCGCCACTGCGTCGCCTCTGTTGCATTCTCATGCATACAAATGAAAGTCAGTGTGAACGCGGCTTGAGGGTAATACAATATGTGCCGCAGAATAATCAGTGAACCAAACAAAGAAACAGGTAATTATTAAAACAATGAGCCAGTTACAACATAGTAGAATCGTGAAGATAGGGATAATAAGCCGAATAGCTGTGTCTTAATGCCGCAGTCACACTAGAGTTTGTGCGTGGGAAATTCTGTTGTGCAGGGCTGTGCTGCGAAAAAGGGCGGGATTAAAAAAAGATGATTAGACATTTAAAAAAAGCGAGCAGTCGGTCCATGTTTTAAATTTCTGTCTGTTTTGATCCTTGATGGTTTCACGCAATCATGTGATGAGATTTTGCAGGTCAGAGTTCACTATACTTGAACTTTCCAATGCATGGTCTAAAAGGGTTGAGCTTGATTTCTTAATGAGTTATAGGTGTGTTTTGAGAATAAACCAATCAGAGTCTCATCTCCCATTCCCTTTAAGAGCCAGTTGCGAATTTGCTATTTACATGACGTAAAGTAAGTGGAAGTGGAAAAACTGAGCATTACACTAGCAAAAAAAACTGTTAAACAGAGCATCTGCAGAATGTGAGATGAGGCATCTAACAATCTACTTTCACTTTCACTCTCGTGGTAAGGGAAACCTTGTATGCACAGATATCCATTAGCCTATACATAATTCATTTTGTTTGTTAAGCACAAAGATTTATTTCAAAACTATTTCTAAATTTAGTTCTAATTTTCAGCAAACGAATAAATGAACAATAATAACAAAATGTGGTGAAAAAACTTTATTAAAAAAAAAGTTATATCTAAATACACATGCTGTGCCCACATGGTCTAAAACCTGACAAACAAAGAAACAGGTAATTATTAAAACAATGAGCCAGTTACAACATAGTAGAATCGTAAAGATAGGGATAATAAGCCGAATAGCTGTGTCTTAATGCCGCAGTCACACTAGAGTTTGTGCGTGGGAAATTCTGTTGTGCAGAGATATCTAAATACACATGCTGTGCCCACATGGTCTAAAACCTGACAGGTGGGCAAATCTAAGCTTGTATGTAATAAAACAATATAAATATGCATATAATAAATAATACTGCTAATAATAATAACATTATACAAAAGCAAATTGTTATGAATAAACTGAAAAGGCCCCCCGAGATGAAAAAGGCATGAAAGTATGGTTTTTAAATTTATGTAGGCTAGAAAATAATATGTTTTGTAATATTTTAATCCTTTATATATATATATATATATATCCTTATAATATCCTATATATTTCCTTATTTTTATTCTTTTTCACATGTAAAGATATTTGCGTATTGCTCTACATCATGTGTACATCATGCTCTACATACATGTGTATTAAGCAGTGTGTAAGCGAGGTGCACAACTAACGCACTCTGCACTGGACATTAGACTGGCTTTGTTCTAGTCTATTGAAAAATCTATTATAGTTTCTCAAAATAGCAACGTGCCAGTAATACGCCTCAGAATGCCTTCCTTTATAGACCAAAACGCTTATGGGCGTACATACTGTATGAGCGCAAATGCATTTGCTATTTAAACAGCGTGACGCATAAAATCAAAATGAGTCTTTTGCCAAGCTGAAACCAGCAAACAACAAATAAAGGTCTATAAAATGACTTCTTAGTATGATTTTTTTTACATGTGCATTTACATATCAAAGTAAACTGAAACCTAATTCATACAGTTCATACAAATATCATTAATATCATTCATTCATTCATTCATTTTCTTTTTGGCTTAGTCCCTTTATTAATCTAGGGTTGCCACAGCAGAATGAACCGCCAACTTATCCAGCACATGTTTTATGCAGTGGATGCCCTTCCAGCTGCAACCCATCACTGGGAAACACCCAAACGCACTCACTTACACAAATTTACTACGGTCAGTTTAGCTTACCTAATTCACCTATACCCCATGCTTTTTAGACTGTGGAGGAAACCGGAGCACCTGGAGGAAACCCATGCAAACATAGGGAGAACATGCAAACTCCACACAGGAATGTCAACTGACCCAGCCGAGGTTCGAACCAAAAAGCGACCTTCTTGTGGTAAGGCGAATGTGCTATCCACTGCGCCACCATGTAGTCATCATAAATATCATAATTTATGCAAATATCCTAGAATGTACATAAATATCCTTGGATGAGGCAGCAAAGTATCAACCAGTGACAACAAGGAGCCTCAAATTAGTTTGAATTGAGACAACTTTCAAATGCTTCCTTCATAGGATTCAGCCTCTGAAATGAAACACAGCTAATGCAAGCATTTCAGTCATGTTTGTAAAAGTGTGGTCAGACAACACTTTTTGCCCCACTGACTTTCATTCATGCACATCCAAATCTATCAGACAGCAAACTGCATATGTTTGTGAACTCTAACTTGTGAATTTGCATCACTTGAATGTCACTGGAACCAAAAGAAGATCAAAACATGACCTCTCTGTACAGAAATTCAACACGTGTTTTATCCTGCTCCTTTTTAGCAGAACCAACAGAAGAATTCTGTGACCATGAAGCATATACAGTATATATCAATATAAATATGGCTCAGTGGTTAGCACTGTTGCCTCTGATACTCTGATTCGAGTCCCGGCTAGGCCATTTAGCATTTCTGTGTGGAGTTTGCATGTTCTCCCCGTGTTGGCGTAGGTTTTCTCCGGGTGCTCTGGTTTCTCCCACAGTCCAAAGGCATGCTTTATTGACTAAATTGTCCATAGTGCATGAGTGTGTATATACAGTAGATGTTTCCCAGCACTGGGTTGCAGCTGAAAGGACAACCGCTGCGTAAACCACATGCTGGATAAGTTGGCGGTTCATTCCACTGTGGTGACCCCAGATTAATAAAGGGACTACGGCAAAAAAAAAAGAATAAGGACCTATTTATATATATATATATATAAATATATATATATATATATATATATATATATATATATATATATATATATATATATATATATATATATATATATATATATATATATGGGCCTACAGAAAAAGCACGTTTCTGTAGAATTACCCAGAATGTTGTAAAAATGAACCAAAAACAAAAACATTGACTTTTATTAAAAACTTTTATTTTGAAAACCAAGTACACTTCCGGGTTTTTCGCCTGGGTTGTGGTCATTTGTGTTTGGCTTCGAAGTAGAGTGAGCGACTTGATCAGCTAGCACTGCTCATATACTAGTAACTTATTGGTCATAAATTCATCGCCGAGGGTGTAATAATGTCGGGTGGAACTCGACTAGAGAACGCCAATCCTCTGATATTTCAGCGGTCAGGGGAAAGACTGCTCACCTCCACTGATGAAGATGAAGATGTGGCGGACCCCATCGATGTCAGAGAGATCTTCGATATCCTTTCACAGTAACTTACATCACTTTCAGGCTACACCACTGCTTTGACAAGTCGACCTGGTTGCTTTGAATTATCTGCCACCATAGCAGTTATTTACTTCTGCAATCTGCTTGAGTTCACAAACTCATTTAAGTGTTCCTGTATACTAGAGTCAGACCTTAACTAATTAACTTACATTTGATCAGGTCGATCAATGACCCCGAGCACCCGCTGTCCCTCGAAGAGCTCAATGTGGTGGAACAAGTGCGTGTCAATGTGAGTCTGAGCGGTTTACACAGTAACAGAACTCCTCTAATAAATATATATGAAAAATTTGGTCACACTTTACAATAAGGTTTCATTAGTTACTAAGGTAAAGTTGATTTTATATTCCCTCATTCGTTCAGTGACAGCTTGTGACATTCTCTCTGTATTGTTTACCATGGTACTTTGAATATAATAACTGAAATCACACGTAAATATGACTTCAAAACAACTTTAGCACTATTAAACTGAAATGTTGTACTTTGATAGTCATTGGCTGCTAATATGATGTTAATAATAGGAATTAGCAAAGAATACTTTAATAAAATCATATTATTAGGGAGAGAGTCAGAATGTGTAAATATAAAACCAACTTTACCTCAATTCATTAGTTAATGTGTTTACTAACATGGACTAAGTATAAGCAACGCTTGTGCAGCATTCATTAATCATAGTAACTAAGTTCAACATTCACTAATGCATTACTAAAATTCCAAATTCATGTTTGTTATTATTAGTTAATGCACCGTGAGTTTATATAAACTACAGTGATAATAGACTGTATTAAATGGTGGTAGTACCTTATTGTAAAGTGTTACTAAATGTTTGAACTCTTCTATGAAAGTATAATTCTTCAAGGAAAAAATAAATTCAATGCATAATATAAATAATTCATAATAAGTTATTGTGATGCATCATTCTTTCTCTCTGTTTCGAGTCTCAGTTCAAACATTTTTCTCAGAATAGATATAATTAACTACCCCACCAAAAAAAAACATTTTTGGATTGCATTTCTTAACTCCTAATGTCACCAGTTAACGCAATGCATTTTTTCAACACATCCCATAATTTCAAAAATATTAACCTTTACCAAGTAGTTGACATGTTGGTTTATGGTAAAAGTACCGGAGTTGATACATATACTATAAAAATCAGAAAATATGAAATTTAAGACCAAATTTATTTAAAAACATATTAAAAATCAAACATTTTTTAACACTAAATCATCTTTGTTTTTTGAAGGATGCCATAAAATATTTCAGATGCTTATTTAACCGCAGGGTTTTCGTTAGGTCTTAAAAAGTCTTAAAATATCTTAAATCCCAAAATCTGAATTTTATCTGAATAAGTCCTGAATTTACAGAAATATTGTTTTGAAGGTCTTAAATCTTTTTTTTTTTTTTTAAAACAAGTCCTAATTTTCGTTTGTTCATGTATTGCTAACCAACCTGGCCAAAACCCATGCAATCACCTGCAATCCATCTCAATAAAAAATAAAATATTTTTATGTAATGATTAAAGTATTATGAACTTTAACACTACTTATCATAATAGTTTAACTATTTCCCTTACAATAGCAATTGTTTAAAAGTGCTCCATGTATT